TTCATGACTTCCTAGAAGCAGAGTTAAGAGGCCAAAGCTAACCCTGCGATGAAGCCTGAGTATGGCAGCGTTTCCCAACCTCCCTGTGAACCTCACAGTCTCTCTGTGCCCCCAGTTAGTGACTTTTCAGTAAAGCAGAAAACACTGGCACAGCTGCACAGCACGGCTACAGGACTGGACTGTGCTGACAACCTTTGGGATTTTCCTCAAAATGACTGCTGCAGGTTCAAAGAGCTATAAACACATGTTGGATTTTTATATGAACTGTCTTCTTAAATATAATACTGAAGCTGTATGGCTAAGCCTGGAATTAACCATTTCCCTGCGTGCAAAGAACAAATTCAAGGTTCTGGCTGCAAGAAACTTTTAACATTATCCCTGCTGACATTCTAATTTCAGGAAAAATCTCAAGGGCCTACTCAAAGCATGGTAAGGGTAAAATAGCAAAATTTTTTATGGAGAACGGGAGGAAGAGGAGGAAAGTGGTTTTTCCATGAAAAGATCCTGAACACTTAGCATTTTAAAAAGTTGTCCCTACAACTTTACAAGTGGAGACCTGAACATCAGATTCCTGTTTTGGAGAAAAGCACATCAACACCCTAGTTAACACATTCTTTACAAAGGTCCAAGTCCCTCGGGAACTCTAAAAGTGAATTGTTATTATTACTTAGATGTTGCAGAAGTAAAGAGTTTCTAAAAGGAATAATAAAGGAGTGATAAAAGTTTTGTGCTAAACCTGATACTCTGCTAAGCATATAGTATTTCCAAAGTAGCTGAAGAATTCATGTTCAACGGTAATGCCTCTGCCCACAGGGCTGCTGACTGCTAAGGAGAGAATTCAACAGGCCTGCTTACTTTGTTGTTTTTCCTTCTTTCTCTGTCTATCTGTCTGTCTCACATATGAGGAGAGATAGAATGCACTCCTTGCCAAAACTTCCTGAAGTAAAGCAGACTCAATGGTGACAATTCCAATTTGCTGTATGTGTTGAGTTTCCTACTGTCTTTTAATAAGGCACCTTTGGGAATGTGTAATAGTTTTCTCTCACTGTTAGGGAGCTCTGGGGGTGTACATATTCTGTAGGGAGTTGCACAGCTAACCCAAAGGTCACGCTTCTCTGACAGTTCGTATTTACCAGAAGCTCCATGGGAGAAAGATGGGCAATCTCCTGTTCAATTTACAGCTTCTGAAAACCAGCAGGAAGATCACCTGTGAGTTGGTTCTAGCTCAAGAGCAATGAGTTCGAGGGTTTGGGTGTTTTTTTTTTTTATCAGTTGGAGAAAGTCCCTAGGTGGTACAAATGGTGACCTCATGCTGGGGAGAGGAAAGGGTCAGTGAAGAAAGGAAGACAGTCAATGAGACGGATCAGCATATTGACTGCAACAGAGCGACTACTTGAGCTTGAGCCAAGGACTGTGAGGATGGTACAGGACAAGGTGGGGTTTCCATTTGTTTACCATTGGTTGCTATGAATTACAGTTGACTCCACGGCACCTAACAACCTAACTACTAACTTGAGGGCTAACAGTTCATATCCACCCAGTGGCCGGCCCCCTGAGGAAAACGGCCCAGCAGTCTGCTTCTGTACAGACTATTCCAAGAAGCGGCTCTACTCTGTGATACAGGAGCTTGCTGTGTCAGAAGGAGCTCGAGGGCACCAGGCTTTTAGGTTCTCACCACTCCTCTTAATGGGAATGGTATTCAATGAGTAACATATTTAACTGCTGTCCGGAAGCTTGAAGGTTTGAGTCTACCAGCAACACGTCAGAAGAGAGGCCTGGTGATGTACTTCTGTAAGACCAGGCACTGAAAACCCCATGGAGCCGGATTCGACTGAGACTCACACAGGTCCCCAGGAGTCAGCATCTCCATCACAGTGGGGTCCCAGGGAAAAGGCAAATTTCTTTGTCAGTTTGGTAGAATAAATGGTCAGTCAGACTTTGAGAGACTATGAAAGAAAGTGAAAGAAAGTCTTCCCTCAGATGTTACAAAAGGATGTCTGGAGATGACAGAAAGGCATTTGAATTATTAAACAGAGAGTGAAGTAAAACTGAGCTTTCTTCTCTTGAGAAGTGTCATTTCATCCCCAGCCCATCCCTCTCACTTAAAGCACATTTAACCCAATTTACTGCACATGCTTACATTTTGGCATGTCTTTTTAAAAATCAATAGGAAATTTTGAATAATTATCAGTGACTATTAAGGAGACCAATGAGAAATTTCATGGTGCTTCTTCTTAAAGATAAGAACTTAGAAAAACTGTTTCAAAAATGACTATTCTACTGAAAAAAAGGGATCTCGGGTGGCTTTGTGGTAACGGATTATACTCCCAACCCAAAGGCTTTTGGTTTGAATCCACTAGCTGCTCTGTGGGAGAAAAAGACCCAGTCTCTCTTGAGATTTACTGCTTCTGATAACTCACTGAAGAGTCAGCTATGGGTCAGTTCAACTCCATCATATATAACAAATAAAATACACTGCACACAACTGTTAAGTGGACTATTGGTAAAGTCTATTTTATTTGCAGATTTCTCAGAGAATCTAATAGATCCAAGGAGCCCTGGTGGCATTACTAATTGAAAGGTCGGTAGTTCAAACCCGCAGACAGTCTGTGGGAGAAAGATGTGGCCATCTGTTCCCATTAATATTTCTAGCCTTGGAAATAGGATGGGGCAGTTGTACTCTGTTCTGCATCCCCACTATGGGTCAAAATTGACTTAGTGACAGTGAGCTTTTAAAAAAAGATTATTTAGAGACATAACTGCAGACACTAGCTGTGTGGACCTTCATGCTCTGGAACAGGACGAATTTCCACATGTGTTTGTCAGAGGCATTGAAATAAAACACCAAATTCAAGGGAAGATGGCCGAGTAAGCAGGGTGAGCATGGCCTGACTGGTGCTTACTTACTGAGCTGAGAGGACAGTTTCACAGGGGTTTCACTACTTCTTTGGTGTGAAAACTGTTCACTCCAGGCTAGACAGTAAGCGTAAGTCAGTCAATGTTCATCCTGCTTACTGGATACTCCATCCTCTTCAAGAAGGAGTAACAGGTTTTGGTATGAAGAGTCTTTGATTCTATAGGAAGAAATTTTGAAAAGAGGCTTTGATTCTGCAGGACAGTGCTGCGGGATTGGGAGACAGATGCCAGCCATACTCTGAACCAGAACGTTTGATGTGGTGAAAAAACACGAAACTGTTCACTATCATTTACGAAATAAGCACAACAAGTAAGACTGTGCTAGGCTTCCTTCTTGTAATGCAACACCGGCCATACCTTTGCTGAGGAATCAGTCCTGACTCATGGCCACCCAAGTGTTATGGAGACAACTGTGCCCCAAGGGTTTTCTTGGTTGTAACCTTTATGCAAGGAGAAGACCAGACCTTTCCCCATGCATGGCATCTTGGTTTAGAACCACCAACCGTTTGGTTAATAGCCTAACCGCAAAGCTTCTGCACCACTCAGAACCACAAGGGTGGACACTAAAGCACATTGTTGTTGTAAAGTGCTGTCAAGTCGACTGACTCATAGTGACCCTGTGAACAATGGATCTGAGCCCTGTCCTGTGCCACCTTCATCATCTCGGACATACTGGCCCCACTGTAACAGTCACTGTGTCACTACATCTCATTGAGGGTCTTCCCCTCCTTCACTGGCTCTCCAACATTTCAAGCATGATATGTTGTTGTTGTTGTTGTGTAATGTGGAGTTGGAACTGACCCAGAGCTGACCAGCAGGTTTTCAGAGGCAGTTAACTGCACGGGAGGAGACTGCCCATCTTTCTCCTGCAGAGCAGCTGGTGGGTTTGAAATGCGTGCCTATAGGATTGCAGCGCAGCTTCTTACCACTCGGCCACCAGAGTTATAGGATGCTGTATGTACACAAGAGAATTTATGGAGGGAAAAAAAACCTATTACGGGACCAACATAAACCTACAGGAGTCAATTTGTGCCATTGAAAAGGCAAGAGGAGGATTGGGGGGAGAAAAGTGCAACAATGAATGAACGGAAATCCAAAGTCTAAATTTTCATTGAAATTAATAATAATAATAATGATGATGAAGTGAAAAGCCCTTGTGTCCCTGAGTTGCCAGCCCTTTCTCCACTATGTGCTGGTCACCTGCCCTTTCCCCAGAATGTGCTACTTCCCTTTCTTTTTGAGTTTTCCACATTTGCTACATTGAGAAAGGTGTATGACAGTGACCGTCTCGCACACGGCCATGTCCTCCCTAGCTCAGAGAAAAACTGACTACACTTTTACCATTTTCAGTGATAACGCAGAGCAAACAATAATTGACGTCAGCAGCTCCTACAGTGTAAATGATTTCATTGATGGGGCCTAGAGAACTTGGTGCATTATTAAATTTGGCACGGTGGGCTTTATGCAATTACCGTATTTTACAGTGTTTTTATAACTGCCAACTATCCCCACAGTAAGGGAGAGTGTTTCTGAACCGGGGCAGGGTGGAGCACTTGCATTATTTACAAGTTTGCAAATAATACTCTTTATGTGATGGCATCTACTCTTCTCTAGTAGTTCGTTATCATTTAAATCTTGAAAAACATGAGAAAAAAAATCTACAAATCATCTGAAGAGAAGAAAGAATTTGAAACATCACTACTTTCATCTGCAGTGATATGCATAAGTGAGTACATGTATTTTAAATCATGGGTAGATCAGAAAATAGCAAGGATATTCACATGTGTGTATGTTTCTAAATATACATGGATAGCACACAAACATACATCTATATATCCATTGTCTCCTTGTTTCTCCTATAGCCATGCTTCTCAGTCTAGAATCTTACAATGCGGATTTGACTCTGACGGCCTGGGATGGGCCCTACACACTGCAATCCTAATGGGCTCCCAGGCCCTGGGTTGCCGTTGGTCCCAAGACCACCGTTGGAGCGTCACGGAGAATCCATTTGTCTGGGTGGTGTTTTTGGCATGGGCAGCCAGATCTGTGGTCAGGTGGGAAGTGGGGTTCTTGCAGGTACTTACCCTGAATCTGACTCTGAGGCTGAGGGTTAAAGGCAGTGGAATGGTTCAAGGCGCGAGGGTTGGGTGTGGGGGCTGGGTGGTGCGGGCTGACCCTCATGGCTGTGCGCCGCAGCTGCTCCAGTTCACTGAGCCGCTCGGAAAAGGACAAGCTCCCCGGCTTGGTCTGATCATCTAGTTTCTGACGATGTCCTATTGTGGGGAGTCGGGTGGGGAGGGAGGGAAGGAGGGAAGAGATCAGAAAATGTATCGTGGATATCCTAAAACTGGAATTTTCTTCTTTCCCCCCTCCTTCCTCCCACTCCCAGTGTAGATTCACCAGAGCTTTGCGAGGGGGCGGTCTCCCAGGGCGAGCGGGACTGTGGCTAGGAAGCTGACTGGCCTTCTCACGCCACACTGGTCACAAGGGTCTCCCTGGTAGGGCCTGGCGTCACCCCACCCCTCTGCACCCATCTCCACAGGGCAGGAAGGTGTGGACAGACAGGGTGTGGTGGTAGGGATGGCAATGGGAGAGGAGGGACACTGGTTGGTGGCACTTGACCACACACCAAGGCTGAACTGTGGCAGCCAAGAAAGGTGAATTCCCAGTGGTTCACATGCTGTGAAACACCAACTGCAAATCCAACCACAGGCAGGTTTTAGAGGCAGCAGAGTGGGCCCTGGAGCTTGCTGAGTGCCTCTTCACTATGGAAACAAGGCATGGCAGTGAACTTACAAGCCCCAGGGATGCCAGGTTCCAGTCAAAATGCAGAACTCTTGCGCCCCTCAGCCCCTCCCTCTCTCATGAACTTTCAGGAGAATTTTTCCTACAACTAGAAGCCAGCTTCCCAGATGCACCTCCTCAGAGGGAATTGGCAGGAAACTGTAGTTGTGCCTTGCTCAATAGTCAGGGCCCGCAGGCGACTTGATGTAGTCAGAAATCCAGCATGGCCCCTCCGTGTCTGTGGAGACAGTGAGGGGACCCTCCCTGCTCCTAATGAAAGTCATTATCACCAAGCAGGACAGAAGGGTGCATTGCCCGTCTCCTCTCTTAATCCACCATCTAAATGTACTTGAAATAGAGACTCAGTCCTGTCAAAAAGCAGGGGGCAAGGAGGAGACCCTCCTCATCCCAGTGGTTCAAATAAAGCTTCATTGACCTTTAACTACATCCATAACCTGCCATTGCCCAGTCTTTTTGGAAGAAGACTGGAGAAGCCTGCTTGCTGCCACAATAAAGTGTTCTTTCACATGCTCTAACTCAATCTTAAATTTGAAAGTGGATCCCTTGATTCCACTCCCAACTCCAGCCTGGGGTAAGAACGGGGGTGGGGGAGGTACATTTTAGCCCAGCTCTCAATCGCTACAATTATAAAATTAAATTTTATAACTTGTATTATGGCCCCAGATCTCTGTGCCTTGCCATTTCTTCCTGCTGCCAGGCCCTTGGCAGAGTTTACACGGTCTCAAATTCCAGACCAGAAGAAGGGCTCACTATATTGCAGTGATTTTATCATTAACAAGACCTGTTTGGCTCCAAAAGGAGGAAAAATACTTAAGCATAATATTTGTATAGTTCAAATGCAGTGTTCCCTCTCTCATTTGTCACCAAGGCAAATCAGGACTCTGATTCAGCGTGGGGCCCACAAGCCTCACGGCTGGAGGAAGAGGCCCCGAGTCACGCAGGCTGTGAGGCCTCTTAAGGGGCAAGTATTTTAAGCACCAGCAGTGAATGGAGAGCCATGGGGCTGGGGGCCACCTCGTCACCCCTGAGAAACATGGCTAAGTCTCTGAACATTCACATTTTCTCAATCATGGTGGTACTTCACGATAGACTCTAAAGAGAACTTTCTTCAACTCCTCCCTCCTTTTCTCAACAGACTCACAGCTTCCGGGTGATCAGATCATGAAATCTGAAGTTTTCTTGCCGAAAAGCAAATAGTCGTCACTCAAAAACCATTCAAAACACAGTCATTCAGTCCCTTTAAATGTCTACCTATTGTCTGATGCTAGGAGTCGAGGAGAGAAGGCAGTATGCCGTAGCTGTCTGTGCTTAACTGAATTGTTGATTTAGTGCTATTGAAATGACTGTTGTTGTCAGTTGCTGTTGATTCTGACGCCTGTGGATCTCATGCATGCCAAATACAACTGCTCCACAGAAGTTTCTCCCTTCATTGGGTTTTTGAGGGAAGTGGATGGCCAGGCCTGTCCTCTGAGGCACCTCTGGTTAGGTTCAGACAACTAAGCCTTTTGGCGAACTGGTAGGCATTTAACTCTTTGTGCCACTCATGGATGAAAGGCAGGACAAATGCTTCAGGAAAGTTCTTTCAGCTCAGAAAGTATGGTATTCAGTGAAGTCATGGGGCAGAGACTTCCTGCAGGTTTAATTCAAAGTAACTGCACATTCCTTGGGTGCCCCATGGTGCTTCTGAAGAACATTGTGTCAAGGACAGCGGGTGACCTGAGGGAATGATGCGTGCAAGACCAGTCTGAACACATGGCCTCCAGTGTGATAAAGTCGACAGCCAGCCTTTGAGGAAGTCTAATTGTGTCTGCCCAGGACGCCAAAATGGGGATGTGCGCTTCCAAGAAACCCAACTGAAACACATCATTTCAGGTAAGCCACTTCTGTGGACAGGCACAACGCGAACTTATCTTTTGATTGTCCTCCCCCCACCCCATCACTGCCCGATACTTTTAAAAAAGAGTCTGAACATGTGAGCAGTTTCTGTACCAGCTGACACCTGCCAAGACTGTAGTCATTTACAGAGATTAACTGATGACTGTCTGCTTTAGCAGGAATGTTTGGGCATAACTCTCTGAGAAAGCAGTTCTTCACTCTAAGCTATTTCCTAAGCCCTTAGAGTCCCAGGCCGAGTTTAAGCTGGAGGAGCTGGGAAGAGTCTGTTCCATCCCCTCCCCTAATGTGATCCTGGAAAAGGCAGTAATGTTCTAATTTTTCAGGGAACTGTGAGCCCCTCACTCCCAATAGCAGTAGAGAACTATAACACCAAGGCACAGGGGAAATGGGAAGCATTATCATATTAAAGGTGTGGTTCAGATGCATTTGTAAGCTACATCAAAAGAACACCTAAGTCTTCTTTTCTGAAACCACCCCACTTCATATGCCAAAGAGCAATATTTTGTACGAAATATAGAAGCTTCCGATATGAACTTTCAAGCTGGGGAAAATGAATGTTTTATGTCTACAGTTTCCTGTTATCTGTGTGCCATTAAAATATCAATTTGTCCCTTGAATTTTAAATAAGAGAAGCATGGGAAATGTCCACTATAAAATTCACTTTTTTTCTTGAATGCAAACAATCTGTGGGCTTCAGCGAGGAATAGGAGTTCAGGCTTAGATCTCTCTGATTGAATTATGATGCAATCCTGAATGTGTACTTTTGGGCAGCCTGTTGTGTGAATATATGAGAAGTTAGGTTTGTGTGTTTGCATAAAGAAACAAATTGGTGGCCTTCAAGTAGATTCCCACTCTGTGGTGATCCCACGTGTTGGGTCTGGGTGGAACTGGGCTGCACGGAGTTTACAATGACGGTTTTGTTTTGTTTTCAGAAGGTCACCAGCACTTTCTTCTAAAGTACCCTGGAATCAACTCAAATTGCCAATCTTTCTTTCACTTAGCAGCCAAGCTCTTAAACATTTATACCACCCAGAGATTTCCATGTTTTCATGGCAGTACTTAAAAATCATGGCTGCCTTGAGATTTCATACTGGGGTGTCCTACTGAATCTTAAGCAGAATAAAAAAGGAATCTTATACTATGTTATTTTTTTTAATTGCAATTTTCACACTTTTGGAAAAAGTGCTCCACTGGAATTTCGTTATTTATGCAGAGTCATTAAAAATAAGAATATATATGTATATATGCATTTATATACATATATATGTATACATACATTAATATATATATATATATATACCCAAAGACGACAACAACAAAACAACCCAGAATGAAATAAATTCCCATCCTCTAAATCCTGTCCTCTAAATTTTACTTCTTTATTTTAAAGACATACGTCCTTTTATGGGATGGCTGCAAATTAGGGCATCACTAAGTATTAGGATATTTTATGATGAGAACAGTTTCCAGTCTTATGCTATAAAAGCTAGACAGAGCAACTGTGCATTATCTCACAGACAACTGCACTGTCATTTTCAAAAAGCCACAGTGCTCGCTGGCTGTAAGTAACTAAAATGAAGTATAGGAACTTCTCTCAAAGAAGAAAGCAGATCAGGATAAATTGCCATCCTTTTCGGAAAAGTTTTGCTGGAGAATATGAACAATTTTCTGGCACTCAGCATCACGCTAGTCCAAGTTTCTTAGATGTACTTGTTTTCTTAATAGATTTTCAGCAGAAAAAACAAGTGAGGAAAGTGTATGTTCAAAGCAAAAGAGCCCTGGTGGTACAGTGTGCCTCATGGTGAACCGCTAATCAAAAGGTCAGTGGTTCGAATTCCCTAGAAGCTTTGATGAGAGGAAAAATGGATAGTCTCCTGCCATAAAGGAGAGTCATGATTTGGAATCTACTCAGTGGCAGTGAGTGGATATACACAAAATGCTATGCAATTGGGGAAAACCTATGAAAAATCATGATATTAAAAAGGTTGTGTACGCGCACACACACCCCAAACACACACACTCCAGATCCATTGCCAAGACTCCATGATGATTCTGACACATGGTAGCCCTATGTGTGACACTAGAATGGTTCCAGGGGGTTTTCTTGGATGCAGTATTTATGGAAGCAAGATCTTGTGGTCATTCCTCCACAGAACTGCTGGGTGGGGGTTCAAACTGTCAACTTTTTTGGTTAGTCGACAAGAGCAAACTATTTCTGCCACCCAGCGACCTTTTATATGTTAAAATTGGAGAAGATGGAACCTGAGTAAAGTGAGAATCTGTCAGAGAAAGAGAATTCAAGTATTTTTCACTGAAACAAGTGGTAACACTGGACCCTGTAAAAGGCAGAAAACTTGTGCTGTCCAGGAAAACAAAGCCATCTCGTCTCTCACAAGTGTACATATGTGTGTATGTGTGAGAGAGAGAGAGAGAGAGAGAGAGAAACTGTAAATATTTTAACTGTTAATTTCCTTCATTTGAGGAGAAGCAAAATATAGTCCTTTTGTTCTGTCTGTACATTTATTTTCAAAACAGAAGACATGCTTAATTTTTTGAAGGATAGATATACTTG